CCGTAGATCTCTTTGACCAATAGGATGGCGCCGAGTGCTACAGGAGAAAGAACACAAGTAAGGAAGAAAGTCATGTTTTCTCTTTCAAACTTTTTAGGAATCTATTGTCCTAAATCTTTTGTTGGATAATAAAAGCGTAAATTCCTTCAGTCAATTACTAACACAATTTTTATGCTAAAGTGGAAGAACACATTTCATCGGAAACGAAATGGGACTAAACTGAGAATTATGGTTATGTCATGTTGCTTTTGACTGCAGGTCTAGTATATATTGTTCACTATTTTGTCAATGAATATCAAATATAACATGGCTTCTCGGTTTCTTTCCTTGAAAACATATGTGAAGGAAAATGTTGGAAGAAATCAGCCACGCCCGGCATGCACTACGCACCCCCATAGGGCCCACTGACCGCCCATCACTTTTTCCTTATCTCTTAGCAGTCGTGGAGAGCCACACAATTCTTTCCATCTTCGTCTCATATTCCCTGCCATTCTGTTTAATCCCATTTCCTCTTTCTCTCTCTTGCATTCAATCGTCAACTAGCATTGTATGCACCACCACTAGTCGCGCATTTTGCCGTAGGGGGTCAGTAGCTGCTGCAAGCTCTCCCGGGAGTTACAAACCCGACACTCATCATGCTGGTAACCCGCAGATCTCGCTGACTGGCGGGATGACACCGAGTGCTGCAGGAGACCGCTAGAAGGCATAGGTCATCGCCTCGGTGCTATTAGAGGGTGAGGCATGAGGTGATGGGGAGTTGATGAATGCCAACGCCATGGTGCACTTCAACATCGTCCATGCTTTTTTGAGTTAATTAGCAACATCCTTTTATTCATACATAAGCTTGTTCATTACAGATAATCGTCCTGATAACATAGGAGTCTCACTAAACCAACATGATCTAACATCATACTCTGCTGACTTAGCAAGAGTGTGAGCTGCCACATTACATGAATGCTTATCATGGAGAAAACTACAAGATATAAACTTTGTAGCCCAGTTCTTGATATCATGGACTATTGCCCGCGAAGGGGATCTATCCTTTTTTATTCTTGGATCTCATTGATCAATTATAAATAGTTAGAATCCACCATGATTTTTTGCATACCTCTATTCCCAACAACAAATAAGGCTTGGCGTAGTGCCATGGCTTTTGCAACTATAATATTTGAATTCGAGCGAAGTAGCCTCTGCTTACATTGTCGCTTGCACCATCCCCCGATGATCGCAAATCACCATGCCAAATCCCACTCTTGTAGAATGAGAAAAGATTGATGCATCCATGTAGAGAAGATCGACCCTTGTGCGGCGGAGACCAATTTTGGTTTGACTTCAGGGACTCACGCATGATGAAAACTGGAAAAAAAATTGCAAATTGATGAACTCAATGTAGACTTTGATCTTTCCTACAACACGAAGTGGATGAATTAAGGCCTTACCATTACGGTAGACATCTCTATGCTCCCAAATATACCAAATTACCATGGCAAAAATCATGGCAGAAAAATCAGTAGCAGTTATTATCCTTGATAATACACATTTCCTAATATGGATATAGTTTTCAGGTTCAAGCAAATTTGATAACCTTTTCAAGTTCTTTCCAGATTTTTTAAATATCGCCCATGTTGCGATGAGCGACCGCACCATTGTGTGTATTGAGATGGTGGCAGCCTAATTCGATGTCTACCTTGGATATCAGCAGGTCGATCCGCAGCGTCACCCAAATTTGAAATCGGCATGTCACTGCGCTCGGTACTTGGGTGTGTGGTTTTCAATTTGAAAATTTATTTGCACTGGGCGACTAGTCAACGCTCACGTCTGTCATGTGGCGTACATTCGATTGACGCAGATCGCGAGTCTTCCGTGCGGCGCTCTCGGCTATTCCTCTCTCGACACGCACGACACGTGTCTGCCTTAGTGGGCCGGCGACCGCTCTTCCCCTCCCTTATATTCTCCCGCATCCTTCTCGACGACTCGTCTTTCTTCTTCCTCTATTGCCAGAGCGATCTCATGCTCTTCTTCCTCTTTCTCGCCATCTTCACCCCCGATGAGCACCACGAAGCCAGCCAACGAGCCATCACCCTTCCCTTGTTTCTCTCTCTCCCAATTGCATCTGGTACTACTCTTAACGGCCGGAGCTGTGACCAGAGCACGGTGCTGCAAACGTCGAGCGCCGGTGTCTGCGGTGGGAAGCTACAACCGGATCCCAATGGTCGTTGCAACAGGTGTAGTGTGGTGCAGGGAGTGGCACGGCGGGGTGCTGCGGCCGGTGCAGCGGCGCGCTGCGGTTGGCATCACGGCATGTTGCGGCGTGAGCGCGACGGTGTTGCGATGCCGCGACAGATCTGCGAGCGATGACGACCTCCGATGCAGGTGAGAGTTGACTTTTTCCTTCTTCTTTTTTTCCTTTTTTCTGCAATCGGACGGTTATTCATATCGAGATCGCTGGGGCCGTCCGGCTACCGGCCTAAAGTCGCGTCGGTCGACCGGCGCAGTTACTCGTAATTGATCTCTTATTTCTGTAAGAAAACCGGGACGACCTCCAGCACGGGTGAGAGTTAACTTTTTCTTTTTTTTTCTTTTTTCTGCAATCAGACGGTTATTCATATCCAGATTGTAGGGGCCGCCCAGCAACCGGTCTGAAGTCGCGTCGGTCGACCGGGGAAGTTACTCGTCCCTGGTTTCTTATTCTGTAAGAAACCCGGGTCAACCTCCAGTGCGGGTGAGAGTTGACTTTTCTTTTTTCCCATTTTCTCACAATCGGACGGTTATTATATCCAAATCGTAGGGCCCGCCCGGCTACCGGCCTAAAGTCGCGCCAGCGCAGTTACTCGTAACTGATTTCTTAGTCTGTAAGAAAGCTAGGACGACCTCCCGCGCGGGTGAGAGTTGACTTTTCCTTTTTTTTGTTACAATCGGACGGTTATTCATATCTAGATCGTAGGGGCCGCCCGGCGCCCGGCCTAAAGTCGCGCCGGTCAGCCGGCTCAGTTACTCGTAACTGATTTCTTAATCTGTAAGAAAGCCCGGACGACCATCCGCGTGGGGAAGAGTAGACTTTTTTTTCTTTTTTTCTGCAATCCGACGGTCATTCATACCAGATCGTAGGGTCGGCCCGGCGACCGGCCTAAAGTCGCGCCGGTCGAGCGGCGTAACTGACCTTTCAGTTTCCGAAGTCTACGTCCCTTTCGGTGGGTGTGGACTATGGACTCCGGGTCTCCGGTGTGAACGCGGCCCTGTGTATCCCTCCTGTCGGAAACGACAGCCGGGGTCGCCGCACGCGCCGAGGCGCCCTCAGCGTCCGACACGTACGCGCTCGCACGTGCGCGAGAGGCCGCCCACCCCGCGGGCCCCGCCCGCTCCACCGATCCTCATCCGGTGCGGCTTGAAGATGGATATACATATCTCCTAGGGAAACCCGGCGGATCCTCTGCGCGTCCCCCTCCCGCGGCCCCTCCCCCGCGCCCGTCGGATCCCGATCGTGCGACCCAGGCCCCAGCCGCACCGGTCAAACACCGTGGGGCCCTCCAGAGCGGCCGCCGTGCTCCCGCGGATAAGATCGCGCGCGGGCTGCTGCCGCCCGCGAGGGACTGCGCCATGGACTGCGCGATGGAATCTTCCACCTAGCCCCCTGGGTTCACGGGCAATTCGCAGGCCGGACGGGCACGAAGAGTTTCTTCATATCCTCAGGATAGAGGCCGTTTTTGTTGGATTGCGGCAGCCCGCGGCGCGATCAATGGATGAGGGCTGCAGTAAACGCATGCAACCACGTCACTATCTATCCTTCTGACAGCAGGCAAAGGCACCGATATTCGGCCGTAGGCCAGGAAGTCACCATCCGATAGAAAATAAATACAGTAGCACTCACTAAAAATAAAAATCACATGACCATAAAAAAGTAGCGTGCATAGCAGGTGTAAAATTTCGAATTAAGAATCACCCAGCTGGGATTTTTTTGTCCCGAAAGCAAAGCAGCTTTTTATGGTAACCGCCACGGCATGCACGCAAGGAAACCGTGGTGACTGACTGCTCACTTGTTCTGTAAGAAAGCCAGCCGGGGGTGAGCATTGATCGAGTGGATGGATAATGCTGATCCCTTGGGTCAGTCAGCAGGGACGATTATCCATCCCGGAAACAAATAGCGCCAATGGTTTGTCATGAATTCTTTGGCCGCTGTTAGGTGGACGGCATGCGGCGCGGCGCGGGACGGCGCCCGTGGACGAAATGCCCGTGCTTATCCAGGGTGCTTAGCGCGAAATTCCGATTATATTTAATCCGTGTACGGGCCGGGGGCGAGAGGCATCGCAGAGTTCATCAGACCCGCGCTCGCCAGCTCGAGCGAGGGCGAGAAAAATACTCTATCCATTCCATTCCAGTCTAGTCTACTCCAGTAGAGAAGCAAAAGCCTCGCCTCCATTCCGTTACTTGTAGTCGTGATAGATAGATAGATCCCACCACAGCCCTTCCGATCCTCAAGAGCCACCGCCGCACGCCGACCGACGATCAGCCCCGCCTCCTCCTGCCACCACCGCCTTTCCTCCCTCCTCCGCCGCGTCCGTCTTCGCCAATCCGCCGAGTTTCCCCGGAGTTTCCGCCACCCTCTTTCGAAAATTTGTTGCTGGTTAATGCTGGTCCTGGGGATGGGCGGCGGCGTCTTCTCTTGTCCGGTGGCGGCGATCTGTCGATGTGGCGGTCGCGTGGGCGGCGGGAGGAGGAGCACCTGAGACGGTGCCGCTCTGCCGCCGTGTTCCCTTTGACCGAAAGGGGCCGCTCCTTTCCGGAAAGGGGGAATTTGTTTCCGCGCTTCTGGCGACTTCCTTTGCGCCGATTCCATTCCTTGTTGCCTCGCTAAATCTCGCCCGGATTTCTTCTTCCCCTCGGACTCCATCCCGGTCGCAGATCCTTTTCCTCCATTCTTGCTCTGCTCCGTCACTCGCTCTGCAACTGCAACCTCGAGTTCTTGCTGATTTGTTGGTGAAGAAGATCACATCTGAGAGAGGATGGCGTCGAGATCCTACTCCAACCTCATGGAGCTCGCCGGCGGCGCTGACCGCGACCAGCCGCTGCCGTCCCTCGGGCAGCCACGGATACCGCGGGTGATGACGGCGTCTGGCATTGTGCCCGGCCTTGACCGCGCCGACGCCGCCGCTGACGCTGACGCTTACGCCGCCTCGGTGGCCTCCGACGACCAATCCGACCAGCCGCCGCGGGAGCGCACCATCATCGTGGCCAACCAGCTCCCCATCCGCGCCTGCCGCGGCGCGGACGGCGCCTGGGAGTTCTCCTGGGACCAGGACAGCCTCCTGCGGCAGCTCAAGGAAAGCCTGCCCGCGCACCAGGGCCGCGCCCACATGGACTTCGTCTACATCGGCGGACTGCGCGACGACATCCCGGCAGAGGACCAGGACAAGGTCGCGCTCGAGCTCTACGAGCGCTTCCGCTGCGTGCCCGCGTTCCTGCCGGACGACCTCCGCTCCCGCTTCTACCACGGCTTCTGCAAGCAGCAGCTGTGGCCACTGTTCCATTACATGCTGCCACTGTCGCCCGAGCTCGGCGGCCGCTTCGACCGCGACCTGTGGAAGGCCTACCTGTCCGTCAACAAGATCTTCTCCGACAAGATCCTGGAGGTGATCAACCCCGAGGAGGACTTCGTCTGGGTGCACGACTACCATCTCATGGTCCTGCCCACCTTCCTGCGCAAGAAATTCAACCGGGTCAGGCTGGGTTTCTTCCTGCACAGCCCGTTCCCATCATCGGAGATCTACAAGACCCTGCCGGTTCGAGAGGAGGTGCTCCGGGCGCTGCTGAATGCCGACTTGATTGGGTTCCACACATTTGATTATGCCAGGCATTTCCTCTCATGCTGCAGCAGGATGCTGGGAATGAAATACGAGTCGCAGAGGGGGTACATTGGACTGGAGTACTATGGACGGACTGTCACTGTCAAGATACTGCCGGTGGGGATACATTTGGGGCAGCTGCAGGAGGTGCTCAACCTCCCGGAGACCGGGCTCAAGGTCGCCGAGCTTATCAAGGAGTTCCGTGATCGGGGCCGCATCATGATGCTTGGTGTAGATGATATGGACATATTTAAGGGCATCAGTCTGAAGCTTTTGGCATTTGAGGAGCTCTTGACGCAGCATCCAGAGTATCGAGGAAAGGTGGTGCTGGTACAGATTGCCAATCCGGCGAGGGGGAAGGGGAAGGATGTGAAGGAGGTACAGGATGAGAGCTATGCCATGGTGAAGCGCATCAATGAGGCATTTGGGCAGCCAGATTACCAGCCAGTCATATTGATCGACAGGCCACTGCACTTCTATGAGAGGATGGCATACTATGTTGTTGCTGAGTGCTGCTTGGTGACCGCAGTGAGGGATGGCATGAATCTTATACCATATGAGTACATCATTGCTAGGCAAGGGAATGAGAAGATTGACAGGATCCTGGGTCTCAGCCCTTTCACAAGGAAGAAGAGCATGCTTGTCGTGTCGGAATTCATTGGCTGCTCACCCTCCCTGAGTGGCGCGATTCGGGTGAACCCTTGGAACATTGAGTCGGTGGCCGAGGCAATGGACAAGGCCTTGCACACAGGTGAAGGTGAGCAGGTGCTGAGGCACGAGAAGCATCACAAATTTGTGAGCACACATGATGTCGGATACTGGGCAAACAGCTTCCTGCAGGATCTGGCGAGGACTTGCCAAGACCATAACAAGAGGCGCTGCTGGGGCATAGGATTTGGGCTAAGGTTCAGATGTGTGGCCCTTGATACGAGCTTCAAGAAGCTCGCGGTTGAGCAGCTTGTCTATGCCTACCGGAAGGCAAGCACGCGCGCCATTCTCTTGGACTATGATGGTACGCTGATGCCCGAGTCATCGTTTGGTAAGATGCCGAGCTCCAAAACAATAAACATGTTGAACAGCCTCTGTCGCGATGAGAAGAACTTGGTCTTAATCACAAGCACAAAGACCAGGGCGACCTTAAGTGAATGGTTCTCAGCATGTGAGGACCTAGGCCTTGCTGCTGAGCATGGCTACTTCATCAGGTAAATTCCAACTGTTCCCTGAAAATTCTCAACTACCTTCATTGTTGACATTGTTGAAACGAAACTACTAGTATTGCTGTGACTTTGTACTCCACATGTAGCCTGTGTATGTACATTCCAATTAACACCATTTTGCTGTAGGCTGGAAAGAGATGCAGAATGGGAGACATGCGGCCTGGCAACAGACTTCAGCTGGAAGCAAATCGCGGAGCCGGTGATGAAGACCTACACCGAGACAACGGACGGGTCGATCATCGAGGACAAGGAGACAGCAATCGTGTGGTGCTACAAGGACGCTGACCGTGATTTTGGATCTTGCCAGGCCAAGGAGCTCCATGACCACCTGGAGAGTGTCCTCTCCAACGAGCCGGTATCAGTCAAAGCTGACCTGAACTATGTTGAGGTGAAGCCACAGGTAAAGTTCGGCTGAAACCACTGGTGCCTTTGTTTCCTCCTACTGTACCTAGTGTGGTTGTGTTGCTGCACTTGTGTAACCGAAGGAGAGCACTAAGCCATGAGAATGTTGTTTGCATGATTGCATTGCAGGGTGTGAGCAAGGGTCTGGTGGCGAAGCGGATGCTGTCGACAATGCAGGAGCTGGGGCTCCCGCCCGACTTCGTCCTCTGCGTCGGGGACGACCGTTCCGACGAGGACATGTTCGAGGTGATCACCACCGCGGTGGACGGCCCCTACCTGAGCCCCGGTGCGACGGTCTTCGCCTGCACCGTCGGCCAAAAGCCCAGCAAGGCCAAGTACTACCTGGACGAACCCGCCGACATCAAGCGCATGATCCGGGCCCTCGCGAGGGTCTCCGACCAGGAGCTGGCGATGGAGGAGGGCGAAGACCCTCCTTACCCTTTCCTCGCCGGCGACGACACCAGCACCGACGACACCTGGCTGAACTGAGGGGGGAAGCCGGCAGACAAGACCAGCAGCAGCGCAGCCCCGGCCTGAATAAGACAGCATAATGGATGGACCGTGCCGTCGTAAACGGCAGCATGTTGTGTTCCGCTTGGTTGTTGTTCTGCCTGTTTCGCCGTTGTGTATATAGACTCCGTTGAACTTGGTT